ATTCATTAAAATCTTCAAGAGAAAAACCAGTTAGTAGATCAAGACATAAGAGTTGAAAAAATTTCTGCTGCAGTACACACTGCTATTGACTCAGACTTCAGTAATGACATGTACTCTGGCCTCATTCCAGCCACCTAAAAAAACCTAGCACTAAGAAGTGAATAACTCAGAAAAAAAAGTTTTAATATGGCATGTAGAAATCTGTTTAAAGTGCTTTTCTCATTTTTCTTTAAAATAAGAAAGACAAAGGAAAGTAACTACTCTTCCCTCTTAAAGTGAAGTCTTGGTGAGATTTTTGACTCCTTAAGATGATGAAGTCATAAGTAGTTATCTGTCCCTCTTCTTTTCCTGAATAAGGAAAAGGTATGCCTCCAATATTGATTCACATCACGTTTCCCCAAGAAACATCCCCTTAATGTTTATTTCAAACTATAGAAATATTGCTAAATAGAAAGTATTTAGACTAATTCAAATTTTTTAAAAAGTCTTAATTGAAAGAATTAGAATAGAACAGAAATAGAGACATGATGAAGAGCTCAGGCTCAGAGAAGCAAAAGTGAAGGAAGCAACCTTACTCTTTCTTTCTACATCACAGAAACACAGATTTGCTGGTCTCTGAGTCTCCCTGCGAGCCTAGGCTCTACTGATTTCAATTGGTCCATCTCCCTTATCCCAGCTCCTTCCAGCCCATCTCAGCTTTTCCTGCTTTGAAGGCACATCATATTCAACATCTGTAAAACATTCCTCTTCTCACCTTCTGTCACAGTTACCAACCAGTTGGCTCTAAATCTCCTCCTTCAAGGAACCAGCCTCAAATTGCTTGCAATGCACGTTGATGGATTCATAACTTCTGAAAACTTAAAGTAACGTGTTCAAAAAACTCAAAGGGGGAGTGGGGTGGCTCATGGCATGGTGGTTAAAATAGCTGGATTATATAGCAAACTGTATGGTTCATATCCTGGACCCAGAGACTTAGGAGACATGCTGGGCACATGTGTGTGTGTGTGTATGCCCCAAATCCTAAAAGGATAAATGGAAGAGAATGGATTACAGCGTGACCATTCCCAATAGGGGAGAGGTGCTCGCTCATTTTCTTTTTCTTTCTCTCTCTCTTTCCTCTGCAAGTGCACACACCCTTTAGCAAAATTAAAACTAAAACAGAAACTCTCAAATGGGAGATAGGAGTAATGTAAAGTCATGAACAGCATGTGCTCTACTTGAAGAGTTCTAATCAAGCAACAGCTACCAACCTGTATTCCACATAGGAACATCACACATAAATGCAAGTTAATGATGATTTTCCTGCTTTTAGGAAAATATATACCACACTCACTGCTTAGAAAATCTATGTCCAGGGCTGTATTCCTTAAGGAGTGTGATTTATATTTGAATCTTTGTATTGATGCTTATTAATTATGTAATATGCAGCAAATCGTTTAATCTTGCATTGTTGGGATTACGTGGGATAAGATTGGCAGTGTGTCTCATGATTCAGCACCCAGTGATTCTCAATATATGTTTTCTTATATTCTCAAGTGACATTTCAAAGTCCTTACAGACCTCACCACACTTTCTTCTCTCTTCCAAAATGAGCAGTATAAGTCTCTCATTTATGTCAACCCTACTTATTTCTATTTCTCTTCAAATCTACCTACCTGCCAAGCAACTCTCTCCTGTGACAATTTATTCTTATAAATACAGGGAGTAGGTGATGTAACAATGGCTGAGTTGGCCTTGAAGTGGAAATATGATGGGAAATGGCAGACATATATAGAAAAGTTTTCTCTGTTATTTTCTGCACTTATCTCAGAAAATAGACTTACTTCACTTTTTTCTATAATACGCACACACGCACGCACGCATGCACACACACACACACACACACACAGGCACTTCAAAATGTTCATGGAAAAATGGAATTAAAGTATGAATCTATTTTGTTGCTAAGAAATTTTGAAATACACATATGGTTTTTTTATAATACACATTTCCCATGAACATTTTTCTAAGAGAATTTCTGGTTGTTTTTATAGGACATTTGTGCTCACCAGAAAGACAAACAGAGACAAAGAGAGAGAAAGTGAGAAATCACCCCCAATGGAATAGCCACGCTGCAATCCCTTCTCCTCCATTCTTCTTTCAGGATTTTAGGCATACACACACATGGGCCCAGCATGAATTTCAAGCTGCTGAGTCTGGGACTCAAACCATGGTTGATAATGTGAGAGCTCAAGACATAACCCTTTCACCATCTGCTGGTCCCTTCATAAACCTTTTAATAAAGTTCCTTTAAACACTTACATAAATATATATGTGTGTGAAGATGCATGCTCATTATGAGTACTTTAGGCGAGTCTTTCTCTCTCACACACACACATGCACGTGCACACAAACACACACATAAAAAACATGCCTTTGGTCAATGAGAATCACCCAGTATTCATACATCTCTCTATGTCACAGGTCTCCAATCAAATTTGACAGCCATGTGTTTGATTTTATTTTTTTTGCCTGAGTTGGGTCATATACTATTTTAAATATGTACAAATATCCTACCCATTCAAAACTTTTGACAATGTCTTACGAACATCCAAATATAAGTAGGCTCCCACCTGATCCACTAGGGATCTGTCCCAAGATTCCAAGTGGATACCCAAAACCACAATTAATACCAAATTCCACACAGACACAGACACACAGACACACACAGACACACAGACACACACAGACACACAGACACACACACACACACACACACACACACACACACACACACACACACATTGGTCATGTGGAATCCAGTCGCCTCTACCACCATGCTACCAACTGGCCCTCACAGGATTGGTTTTATATACATTATGCATACTTAATTTATTTCAGGAAAATAAAAATTCAGTACCTGCTGGCAATCTCTCTTGAACCTTTTATTCTTAAGGTCTTCTTTTTGTTTAATTAATCACATTTTTATTAAGTGTCACATTCTACCCATTTGACTATGCAAGGTGATTAACTCAGAGACTCTCCCTAAGCCTTTGGGGGATGATAGTGACTCTTGGGGGATCATAGACAAGAGAGCTGAGAGGAAAGCTTTCTCCCTTAGGAAGAAGAAAATGCTGGACCCTTGTATCTTCAGCCTCTTCAGGGCCAACAAGGCTGTCTTTCCCCGGGGAAGCAGGGGAAACTAAAATCAAACATATACTCTCTTTCCTAAGAGCCAGGATATAGAAGATTCAGAGAGACAGAGCAGAGGACTTTTCTCCTTAGCAGAGATCAGTATCTCCATACAGTAAGTTTGGCCCAATGAGAATATGAAGACAAGAAGACACTTCTGTGATATTAGATACCTGCTTAAGCAGGGATTGTGGGGCACTAGCCCTGGGCTTGCAACTAGGAAAGCCGCAGGGTCAAAGTATGAGGATCAGGCCATGATGGGAGGTAGGGAAGAACATTTGGGAAGAGACATGACCCAAGACTAGATGGAGGTGGTTGTACAAAGGCTGGGCCCTGACTCTGTTCTCTTTGGAGAGCACTTTGGGTCAGACTGAGGTTTAAGAATATGAAGCAGAGGAGGAAGTAGAAAATATCTTGATTAGCCTTCACCGAACCCTTTTGGGAGCATAAGGGAGAATGGAAAAAAAATTTAGTCACCCTGCCTTGATCATCATTAAATAGACTACTTAACTCCTCTGCCTTTTATTCCAGTTCTCACTTTCTAGAAGATCTGCTCCTCTTTCTGCTCCTCTAGCTTCCTTTCCCCCCTCTTTTCTCTCAGTAAAATCTCATTACTTTCAGTTTCATCTTTTTCCCATTTTCACTCTATCATGTAGATGTAATTTTTTTCTCTTTTTATTCTTTTTATTCTCCCCACTCTTTCTCTCAGTCCCTTTCACTGATCAGCCCAAACTCACCCACTCTTCACAGCTTCCTCCAATTCTGTAAAATCAAAGTGGAAGCAAATTGGTAACACCATTTTCTTTTCAACCATTTTCCCTCTTTACCTCATCACTATTTATTGATCTATATCTTTTTTTTTTTGGTTGTTTCTTCCAGGCCCTATTGAATGGGTTTGATGTCATACTCAATAATTTTCTAAGACTAAGGCAAATTTCTGACACTTCTGTTTTAATTCCAATTTGACACCCAGAAAGATGACAGAGAAAAGTCTTTGCACAGGTAAAGCTCATCCTGACACCAAAATCAACCATCTTCTAATCACTGGAAAGGGTCCCTCATACAGTAGCCCACTCGAGACTCAAATATTACTTCTAGAAAACTGTCTGCAGGCCACTTGGAATTTTAAGGTGAGCACAGAAATCTTATTAACTTGGGCATAAAAATCCAATAACTGGGAAAAAGATAGAGTGATACAAAAACAGAGGCTATGAGAGGAAGCATGCGAGTACTTTGAGAGTAAAAGTTACCCTTTAATTAAGAGGAATCCTGAGGCTAATGTATAACTCTTACTCTGGGATTCTGATACCACTGGCCATGCACTGCTGATTCTCTTAAACATAGATGGCATACTGATAGGTAGGTGTACACTTAGAATCATGTAGACATGTCTGGATGGGGGCCAGCAGATGGCATAGTGGTTATGTTGCTGGACATGGCCAACCGTGGTTTGAGTCCCGCACTTGGTGGCTTCAAAATCACACCATACATATGTGCATGGTATGCCTGCCCAAGATCCTGAGAGGAGAATGGAGGAGGAGAAGGGGTTGCAGCATGACCATCTCCTCATAGGGCGATTTCTCACTTTCCCTCTCATTGTCTCTGTCTCTCCTGTAAGTGCATTGTTTCTCCCTCTCCTGTAAGTGCATGTGCCCTAAGACAAAACCCTCAAAAACAAACAAACAAAAACAAAACAAACAAACAAAAAAACCTGAGTGTATTTTTTCCTTTTGCTTATCTCATATGATAGTTATTAAAATTCTTGTAAATCTTGTTGGGACCAGCAGATAGCATAATAGTTACTTTGCTGGACTCCCATATAATTGACCATGGTTCAAGTCCCAGACCCAGCAGCTTAAACTCATGCTGGGCACATGTGCATGCCCAAAATCCCAAGAGGAGGAGGGAGGAGAAGGGATTGTGATGTGGCCATCCCCCTGGAGACTGATTTCTCACTTTCTGTCTGCCTGTCTATCTCTGTTTCTCCAGTAAGTGCATGTGCCCTATAGCAAAAATCTCTCAAAAAAATTCTTGAATCTTGATTGTATTTCATTTCTTCTCAAAAATTCAAAAGCCCCTGTCACATTCTCTTTCCCCTTCGTTCTGGAACACTGATAAGATATATGTTAGATATTCTCGCTATCTATTTCTCTTACACTCAATATTTTCCATTTATTTCTATTTTCTATTTATCTTCCTCCTTAGTAGAGTCTTCTGACCTCCATCTTGATGATTTACAGACTTTTTAGCTGCCTCTAGTCATTGTTAAATTCCATTAAATTATTACTCATATTGTGTTTTTCAGTTATGCCTAGTTATTATTCAAATCTACTTTGTTACTTTTGTAGCTTCCAGTGTCCTGAGCAAAAGCATTAAAGTGCAGACTTAACCTTCTGGATCAAGGAAAACAAAAGAGAGTCACGAAATCAAATCAGAATTCCAGGTCCTAGTTCATGCTTTTGCATTTTCTGTGTATTCATTAGAGATTCATTCTAAAAGTTTCTCCAGTGCTATATACTGTCTTACTGATTAGTTCTTCAATTGTGGCTAATTACTATTAAACTTATCTCCTAAAATCTTAATTTTATTGTATTTTTTTAATATCTGGAAGATAAGACGTTAAAAAATAGTGATAGAGTGTGAGAGTATGTGGTATAGAGGAAGAAGAGAGAAAGACACACACACAAAGAGAATCACCATCTATAAGGCTCACTAATGCTTTTATCCCCTTCCTTCAATTCTCTGGCCTACAGGATCCCAGGCATGTATGTGTGCATTCAGTATTTTCAGGGTAACTGGGTTGGGGACTCAAACCCTGGTGGGCATGTGTCTCCCAGCTACACAGTCTGGTGCGGTCTAGATTTTTGCCACAGGAGCTGGGCTGACTTATTTCCTTTAAGTGTGCTCATCCTTTGCTATATTTTCAAGTGTATCATTCCTTTCTTACAATTTAGTAAGTTTAATATTCTTGGGACCAGCAAATGGTATAGTGGTTATATCACTGGACTGCCATGTAGTCAACTGCATTTTAAGTCCCAGGCCTGGTAGCTTAAAACTCACACTGGGTACATGTGCATGCATGTCCAAAATCCCGAGAGGAGAAGGGAGAGGAAGGGACTGTGGGGCGCCACTTCCTGGGGGAGTGATTTCTCATTTTCTGTCTATTCGTCTCTCTCTGTCTCTCTAGAGAGTGCACAAGCCCTATTGTCAAAAATCTCTCAAAAAAAAAAAAACTTAGTAAGTTTAATATTCTTTGTCAAAAACTCCAATGTCTCTAGTTTTTAGAAATTAAATCTTACTATTGTTTTTTGTGGACTTTTATTCATGATTTTATTTTCAATTGATTTTTTTTTTTCTGAAAACAGATTGATTTTTTTCAAGTTCTATGTTGAAATTCTTTGAGACCTAATATAAAAGTTTGTACCTCACATAAGAGTTGGAACATGCTCTATTATTTCCTGGTACTGCTGCCAACCCTGGAGAACTCTAAATTCCTTTTTGAGCCAAACAATTTGTATGAACACAGGCTTCAAAGTCACTTGAAATCCACTCTATGGTTCATTATTGACAAAGAATGTTTTTCTCCTATAACAACCTATGATGTAGTTGGTTTTCTTTCTTTATTTTTTATTTTATGATCATCAGTAGTGTGTTGGTTAGATAATTATGTTGTCTTTGAAGTTCCAGGTAAGAGTGAGGATGCAAGGAGAAAAGTATGTTTATTTCTAGTGTGAATCTTCACTCTGCATGATGTAGTCCATAAATTTCTAAGTTGGGGGCCACCTATGCTTATGCCTGGGTCTTATTTTTTTAGTTTTTCTAAAGTTGTATGTGTTTATCATGTTTAAAATCATGTTTTGAAGTATACCTACATTGCAGGATGACTGGATCTAGCCAATGAACATATGCATTCAAAATACAAAGTAGAATAGCTGTTTTGATTTTTTTGAGAGTTTTTTGCTATAGGATGCGTGCACTCACCAGAAAGACAGAGAAAGACAGAGAGATAGAAAGCGAGAAATCACCCCCTGAGGGGATGACCACGCCACAATCCTTTCTCCTCCATTCTCCTCTTGGGATCTTGGGCATGCATGTACACATGCCTGGCGTGAGTTTAAGCCACCAGGTCTGGGACTTGAACCAAGGTCGGCTACATGGGAGTTCAGTGACATAGCCATTATGCTAACTGCTGGTCCCTAGAATAGTTGCTTCTAGGAATGGGTATATTTGGACATGTGGGGTGTTGGGGAAATGTTTTATTATTATTATTATTATTATTATTACTTGTATATTCAATCGCTATACATCATTTAGACTGTAAAGAGACTACCCAGCATGATATACCCCTCAGTCCAGCCCAGTTGAGAATACTATACACATCATCATCAACAGGTAATAAACCATATCTGTTCCCCACAAATGTATTATCTATCTTTTTTTCCCCCAAATTTCCTTTCCTACACTCTTCCCCCCCCCACTCTCCTTCCACTTTGTCCTTAGTGTCCACAACAATTATCAATGCTTTTATGTCCTCTAGTCTTTCAGTCTCTATCGTAAGTGTCAACAGTCATTATATGACAAGTGGAGACATGGAATATCTCTGTTTCATAGCCTGACTTGCATCACTCAGCAACAAACCTTCCATATTTGCCCACTTTCTATCAAATGCCAGGGACTTTTTTAATGGCTGAATAGTATTCCACAGTTTTTCAGTCCATTCATCTGCTTATGGGTATTTGGTTCCATGTCTTAGCAATCATGAATAATGCCATAATAAATAAAGATGTGCAAGCACTTTTCTGACTGAGCATTCTCCTGTCCTTTGGGTACATACTCAGGAGTGGACTTGGTGGTTCTATTTGAAGGTCTTTGAGGAACCTCCATATTGTTCTCCACAGTGGTTGGAGATAATCCCATTTGTCTATTTTGGAGATTATTGCCTGTGCTTTGGGAGTCTTATTTAAGAAGTCTTGGCCTACTCCAATGTCTCCCAGAGTTTCCGCAGTATTTTCCACCAGTAATTTTATATTTTGTGGTCTTAGGTTTAGATCTTTGATCCACTTTGAGTTGATTTTGGTTAATGGTGACAGAGTTTCAGATTCATCTTTCTGCAGGTGGATACCCAGCTTTTCCAACACCAGTTGCTAAAGATATTTCCCTTTCCCACTGGATTGACTGGTGTGCTTTGTCAAAGATGAGTTGGTTATATGTTTTGGGGTTTATTTCTGGGGTCTCTCCTGTTTCTTTGGTCCTCATGTCTGTTATTGTGCCAATACCATGCTGCTTTGATTATCACAGCTTTGTAATATACATTTGGGTCAACAAGTGAGATGCCACCCACTCCACTCTTTTGGTGTAGGATTGCTTTGGTCTTATGGGGTTCTTTATGATTCCAGACAAATTATATGATTGTCTTTTATAGATTGTGAAGAATGTCTCTTGTAATTTTATAAGGATTGCAGGAAATATATAGATTAATTTGGGTAGGATTGTCATTTTGATTATATTGATACTGCCAATTAAGAACATGGGATGCCCTTCCACTTTTTTTTGTGTCATTTTCTATTTCTTTTTAAAGATTTTCCTAGTTTTTCCTTATAGAGTTCTTTGACTTCCTTGGTTAGTTTTATTCTTAGATATCTTATACTTTTTGTGGCTATGGTAAATGGGATTAGTTTCTTCAGTTCTGCCTCTGACTGCTTGCTGTTTATATATAGAAATGCTATAGATTTTTGTAAGCTAAATGTTGATCAAAAGATATACAATTTAACTTAGACGGGAAGAACAAGTTCTCGATATCTATTGCACAATAAGGCCACTATAGTTAATTTTGTACTTTAAAAATTGTTAAAAGAGTGAATGTAAACTTTTCTAACTGCAAAAAGTAGTAACTATGGAAGCCTGGATGTTATCTTCTGTCCCTGAGCTCCATTAAGTAATAAAAACTGGTGTTTAAGTTCATGGAATACCACAAATGCCCTTGGGTTGGAAGCCAATATTAATTCTTTATCTTAATGTATGGTTACCCTCAATTTCAGACCTAAGAGTTTTTTTTTTTTTAATTTTGTCTGATGATGAATGTATTAAGGTCCTCTAGCATGGGTATAAATATAGGCAGAGGAATAGGTATTAGTATGTGAATAGGTACTAGTTAGCATCTGGGTTTGGGTATGGGTGTGGAACAAGAGAACCAGGAACATAGACATACATATTATCTTTATTTATTTTCATCAGAGATTTGCTCTTTGTATCCCATACATTATCCTTCTGGATACTGTCAGCTTTCACTCTCTAAAAACATGATAGTGGATGCCATATAGTCTTCAGAATGTATTTATCTACATTAAACTGGATTATTGTCCAAGATTTAATTTCTTTGATATTTAAATACTTTATTTAAATAACATTTGATACGTACATGATTTATAATTTATGAACTATGAATCAAGAAAACAAATTGAAAAAAATGTTTTGAAGTTGACATGAGAGATATGTTAGATCAAACAGCAAACACAGGGAAACATTTCATATATTTTTTTTTGGAGAGAGATTTTCACTGTAGGGCATGTGCGCTCGCCAGACAGACAGAGAGAGACATAGAGACAGAAAGCGAGAAATCATCCCCCAGGGGGGATGGTCACGCCGCAATCCCCTCTCCTCCATTCTCCTCTCGGGATCTTGGGCACGCACGCACACGCGCCCGGCGTGAGTTTTAAGCCACCAGGTCCGGGACACGAACCGCGGTCGACTACGTGGGAGTCCAGTGACATAGCCATTACGCTAACTGCTGGTTCCCAACATTTCATATATTTTATAGCCATCTCTTAGGTGTCAAAAATGTGAGATGAATTACGTGGTTATATCATTACCCTTACAGATCTTATAGTCAAAGTGCAAAATCATTGCCGATTATGGTAGAACAAACTCCTTCTTTCTTCTTCAGCTACACAAGGACATCCACCCTACTGGAGTCATAGCCAATGCTACCTCATAACAACAGCTCCTTCCCTGCTGAAGTCTCCGAGTTCCTCCTGAACTGCTTTGTCAGGTCCCCCAGTTGGCAGCGCTGGCTGGCTGTCCCTCTTGGCCTCCTCTTCCTCCTGGCCATGGGGGCCAACACCACCCTGTTGATCACCATCTGGCTGGAGGCCTCTCTACATGAGCCCATGTACTACCTGCTCAGCCTCCTCTCCATGCTGGACATTGTGCTTTGCCTTACCGTCATCCCCAAGGTCCTGGCCATCTTCTGGTTTGACCTCAGGCCCATCAGTTTCTCTGCCTGCTTTCTTCAGATGTTCATCATGAATAACTTCTTGCCCATGGAATCATGCACCTTCCTGGTTATGGCCTATGACCGTTACGTGGCCATCTGTAAGCCTCTGCATTACTCATCCATCATCACTGGCCAATTTGTAGCAAAGGCTGCTGTCTTCATCCTGGCCCGGAATACATTTCTCACTGCACCTATCCCCATCCTCTCTGCCCGCCTCCACTACTGTGGAAAAAACATAATTGAGAACTGTATCTGTGCCAACCTCTCTGTATCCAAACTCTCCTGTGACAATGTTACCCTGAACCGAATCTACCAGCTAATCGTGGCCTGGACTCTTCTGGGCTCAGACCTCATCCTCATTTTCCTCTCCTACACGTTCATCCTCCGAGCTGTTCTTAGACTCAAGGCAAAAGGGGCAGCAGCCAAAGCTCTGAGCACTTGTGGCTCTCACTTCATCCTCATCCTCTTCTTCAGCACCATCCTGCTAGTTTTTGTTTTTACCCACATGGCGAAGAAAAAGGTTTATCCTGATGTCCCCGTCTTACTTAATGTCCTACACCATGTAATTCCAGCAGCTCTAAATCCCATTGTTTATGGGGTACGAACCAAAGAAATTAAGCAAGGGATTTGGAAACTACTGAGGAGGGGTGGATGACATCCCAAAGTAATTGTGTTCTTGCTTTGTTCTTCTGTGTCAGAAATACTCAAAAACCATGGGAAGGCAGAGATTGAGGCATAGAAATGCAATCTTTATCTTCTCTATGAAGGTGCCTGATGATATAAACTTTTCTCTCTCTCTTTCCCAGAGGCACGTCCTACTTCTTACCACTCCCTGGCCCTAGAGAAGACTAAGATGTATAAACTTTCTTTACATTACCCTGATAAGAGTCTAGGATCATTGATAAATCAAGTATAAAACTTAATTGTCTGCTCCTGTTTAAATCTCAGGTGCACCAGTGAGATGGAAAATTAATGCTTACTTGAAGACATGTGTCTGAGGACCAGCCCCTTAGCACAGCAGTTCAATGCTTAACATAAGGAGCATGATACCACATGGCTGTCTCTGGCTAAGTCACAGCTTGAACAACACTTTTCACCTATATGCCTCTCTGCTCCCAATCCTGACAGGAAAAGGAAAGAGACTGTGGTGTGAACACACTTCATTGTGAATGCTTTCTCTCTGTCTCTGTCTCTCCTCTCAGATGATAATTAAAAAAAGAGAAGACATATGGTGAATTGCTATTGTGCATAGGCTTTGGGAGATGATGTATAGCGTTGGAAGGAAATATGTAGCATTAAAAACTGTTAAAATATTTAACTACTACACTTTAACTTTCTTTCAGGCACTCAAAATATTTATTTTTGAAAAGCAAAGTTATTTTCTGTGCAGTACAATACTAGAAAATAAGACTCCAACAGAAGTAAACTTTGGTCTTCTTATTCTGGGAGTCTGCTGAATAAAGCAGAACTATGTTAAATCAGCTATATTACAATGTATTAGAATTAGAATAAAACATATTAATAATCAGCTATATTATTATTATTATTATTAATAGAATTAAAATAAGACATATTAACAAGATACTTTGGAAACCCAGAAGAAAGAGGAATTTATTTCTCTTGGAGGGTCCAGAAGACAATAGAGAGATAGTGAGATGACAGATGGGAAGAATAAGAAGAGAAAACATACCAAGATGCTAGATTATTATACAACAAAGCATAAAGGTAGTTGTTCATTTATGGAATAGACTATAACTCAGAGTCTTATCTAGCCTTTAATACTAATTCCATACGTATAGTTTTTAAACTTTTAAACCTAAAACTTTGAAGGTATCTTTGCCTTCTGTTTTCCCTCATGACCAGTGTTTAACCTCTCAGCATATCTAGTCAGCCAATCCCTCCATTGTTCTGCGTCTGCTCTACACTGCTCAAGTCACCCCATGTTCATTCTTGTTTATTGAAATGGCGTGGGGTAAGGAGAGTCGTCTCTTTGCTTCTATTTTTGTTTCCCTATAGTTAAGCTCAAATACAGTAGCCAGAGGGACCATTTTAAAGTTATACTTCAGGTCAGTCATTTCACTTTAATATACAAAAGCTCTGCATAGATTCACCACTCACTAAGACCAGAAGGAAAATTTTTTCAATGGCTTACGAGGCCCTAAATGAATTTACTCTCATATACCTCCCTAACTTTCTCCTTTAGTCTTCCGCAGCCAATCTGTTTACCTGGTGGCTTTTCAAAAACACAAAGCGCATACTTACTCCTGAGGGTTTTTGCTTGTTGTTCCCTTTGCATATGTAGCTCTTCTCCTCAGGTCCATCTGGTTTTCCTGACTTAGTATCTAAAATTGTGTCCAATAATATCCACCACAGACACAAATGATTTCCTAATGCATTTCCCATTTCATTTTTATACAATAAAAATCTAAAGACCATCAATTTCACTTACTTTTATTTAGTCAGCATCTCTTTGCTGAAACTTAAGTGGCCTGTGGGCAAAAATTGTTGTCTATTATGTGCACTGCTGTATACCCAGCCCCTGAAAGAGTCCTGAGCATGTGGTAGAGACCAATAAACCTTTGTTAAATAGTGGTTGAATTAATGTTCAATAAATGATCAATCATATACCAGTGACTAGCAGTATAAGTCAGAAATGGTCTTTGTCCTCTGGGTTTTACATTAGATGTCAAGAGTAAGAAGAGAGAGTATATTTAAGTCATAATCCCATAGTCTGGAGAATCATGATAGAAGCTTGGGGGTAGGAATGGAAAGATCAAGAGAACACTGTAAGACACTTCGAATTTGAATACCCACAAGTCATCCAATGGAAAGTTCACAGTAAGTACTTCAACCTCAACTAGCTATAGCTGTAAAGTAAGATATATACTTAGAAGTTGATTATAGAATGTAACTGAAATAATCAGAGAAGATGCAATGATCTTGGAAAAGAATATGGTGTGAAAAGAGAAAAACGCATGAAAATACTAGAGAATCCCCACATCCTCCTTAATTTCTACTGCAGGTAGATTTACTTAGGAAGAAAACTAAGTAGTGTAAAGTGAAGCAGAAACAAAGATAAGAAAGTAATAGAAGGAAGCACCTCAAAAGGGACTATTGTCAATTCAGAGGGCATGGTCAAGTACATTCAAAGCCCACTGTAGAGAGTGTCAGTGTCTATGATACTGATTATAAAATAGATGTGGAAAATAAAATGTAGGAGAAATGGAAAACTTTGGAGAGAATTCAAATAGGAACATATAATAGTATACATTATGAAACAATAGTAATAAAAATAGGGCACATCTTTATCAGTAAAATAAATAGAACAGTGATGAGAAAGAAACAGAGTTTATACTTATGAAAACTTCAGTGGAGAAAGGATCAATTATTGGGTTGTCAGAAAAGTTGTGACACATTTTTGCACAGAAAAACAGAAAAACATGTCATGACTCTTCTGGTGACCTAATATTTCTCTTTACATGGAGAAAAATAGGGCCAGCTAGTGGTGTGGTGGTTAAGATGGTTGGATCCCACATGGCCTATAGTGCAGTTCAAGTCCTAGGCCTGGCAGTTTCTTTTTCTTTTTTCATTATTATTTTTTTATTTTAATTTTTTATATACATTCAATCATATTATTTAGCTTACAAAGTGAATATTTCAATATGTGAACATTTCTCCTCGGTCCAGTTGATCAAAGTATCTTCCACCGATACCACACCTCCCTATCCCATCAATGCTCTGTCTCCATATCCCTCCCGGCAGTTTGAAAAACTTGCTAGGCATGTGTGCATGCAGCTCACAAATCCCAAAAAGAGTGAGAAATGGAGGATAAAGAATTGCAATATGACTGTCCCCATGAGTGCTTTCTCAGTTCCCTTCTCCCTTTCTCTCCAGGGAGCACATGCTTCCTCTGGCAAATTAAAAAATAAACACATAAAGTTAGATCCATACATAGCACGAAAGGCAGGAGTGATATTCAAAATTATTCAATAATTAATATGGCATGTCCATCAATCAACATGAAGGTGCTCAGGCCATAGTACTGGAAATGGCCTTCATGAGTTCTGTTCAGCCAGGCATTAACTCATTTCATGATGGGTCATGGGGAGAGCTAGAAGATACTGAGAGAGTGGTGAGGGTAGTGACAAGGGTTCTCTCTGCTCAGATGAGAGGATATTTACAAAAATAGTATAGGGAACCAGCAGTTAGTGTAATGGCTGTGTCGCTGGACTCCCACGTAGTCGACCGCGGTTTGTGTCCTGGACCCGGTGGCTTAAAACTCACACCGGGCGCGTGTGCGTGCATGCCCAAGATCCCGAGAGAATGGAGGAGAAGGGATTGCGGCGTGACCATCCCCCCTGGGGGGTGATTTCTTGCTTTCTGTCTCTATGTCTCTCTCTGTCTGTTTGGTGAGCGCACGCACCCTACAGTGAAAATCTCTCTCAAAAAAAAAAAAATAGTATAGCAGTATTTCCACAGAAAAATAGGGTCTGACTTAATCAAATTGAGAAATCCTCATTGTTTTAATGATAGCATAAACTGAAATTGATAGATTTTTTTTTTTTCTTTTTTGGAGAGGTTTTTGCTATAGGGTGCATGCACTTGCCAGAAAGACAGAGAGAGACAGAGAGACAGAAAGAGAGAAATCACCCCTTAGGGGTGATGGCTACACCACAATCCCTTCTCCTCCATTCTCCTCTTGGGATCTTGGGCACTCAAACACATGTCTGGGCCTCAAACTGCAGTCGACTACATGGGAGTCCAGCGACATAGCCAATACACCAACTTCTGGTCCCTGAAATTGATAGATCTATGACAAGTTAGAGGAGACATTACCAATATCCAGTTTTTTTTTTTTTTATCATTGTTTTTTTTTTTCCTTTTTGTTTTTATTTTTTATTTTTATTTTCTACATTAATTCACTATACACTATCACAACACACCAATGAATTTTCCATCCAAAATACACTGTGCATTGGTTTAATCAAGCACATCAACATACATGTTCTCAGCAAATAATTTTCCAATTCTTACATCCTGCATACCTTGCCCTTTGTCTTGCCATCCCTGATTCCCCA